ATGGAAATAGCGTTTTTCTACATTCCAGTTGCTAGGAACATTCTGTTTTTGGTTTTTATTAGTTATCTTGTTAAATTGAATTCATTTCGTATTTTGCTTTGATAAAGTCCACATTGGACGAAACGCGTCAGCAATTACTAGTTTTCCTATTGTCATTTTTATTCATATATATATATATATATATATATATATATATATATATATGGCATCTCAACCTCAGCCACTTTCCCACCGCCGGGAAGTAGCTTCTCTGTAACTTTTCTATGAATACTTTCATGGTAATTGTTCTGATGAACTCTACGGTACCTAGACACTATGTACTAAACTGTCACGGGATATCTGTCCTTCTGTATGGCAGTGAGTGCTGGACAATCTTCTCAAAGATGAAGATCAGACTTGATGCAACAGAAATGTGATTCTACAGAAGGATACTAAGGATACCATGGACCGAACATGTGAGCAATAACGAAGTCTTAGAAAAAATGGAAACAAAAAGTAAACTTATACTTAACATCAGAAAGAGACAATTGGGGTTTCTAGCGTACATAATGGGGAAAGAGGTCTTGGAAATTTTGATACCCACAGGGCAGATTGAAGGCAAGAGAGACAGCGTGGAAATTTGTGGGGGGGGGGGGGTTATAATCATATTTGTTTCTATTGACAGTTATCCATATCTTGGTCGTTATACTGAGAACGTTTCGGCCATTTTATCTTCCGGCATTCTTCTTCAAGCGTCTGTCCTGTTAATCTGTAATCTCTTACTTTTGAAACGAACCTTTTATTCAACCCATGGAGTTACATTGTCCTATTTCCTCAATGTTTCTCTAAAGAGGTAAAACCGGAATGAAAACAATGAATTCAATAAACGACAATGACCTGAAGAAAGCCGGACGGTAAAACGGCCGAAATTTAGTGGATATAACAACCAAGATGAAGATACTAGTCCGAACAGAAAGTGAAGGTAAACTGTGAAAGTCAAGTTAAACTATGGAGGCTCATAAGTGATGTAATTTAACGCCTAATAAACGAAAGTGAGTAAATGTTATAGTCATTGTTGAATTTTTATTTAAATGTAATTATTATTTATTTTATTTCTATTTGAAAAATTAATTTATAAAAATTTAAAATTCATTTTAAATAATATGTTAACCATTTTCTTTTTTATTTTTAAAATATATTTATGGTCATGTATGTTGCCTCAGGAAAGAAGTATATATTTTAGGAAAGGAGATATTTGAAAAATCTGGGTCGCAGTTTTATATTTTGGTAAGATTCGATAACGGCACTCTCAAGAATTTTCCGTCTAAGTTAACCTGAAAAATGTTTATAAGCGTTCTTAAACTTACAAATGTTGACAACCAAAGGACATTTTCCCCTTGTGTTTATAAATACTTGTTGCAAAATAAAATCCTCACATTTGCCTTGATAAAGTCCATCAGAGAACGGAACGAGTTGCGGTAAAGAATAGTTTTCCTTTTGTCTTTATTCATATTTCTTTTTACAGATATATTTTTAGTTATATCTGAATCTTTGCGCACGTGCGCACGCACACACACACACACACACACACACACACACACACACACACACACACACACACACACACACACACCCAACACACACATATATATATATAATGCATAAATGGTTAATGGTCAGAGTTGAATCAGACCAGGAAACAGTAGTATTGAAAAAGTGCTCAATACAGGTGGGAAAAAAATATAAAAAATAAAAATAACATGTAGATCTTTTAACTTTAAAAATTAGGAGATCAGTTTTATCCGCTACCTTTGTAACGATTTAATTGATCTCTAATTTTTAAAAATATATATATATATATATATATATATATATATATATATATATATATATATATATATATGTGTGTGTGTGTGTGTGTATATATATATATGTATGTATATATATATATATATATATATATATATATATATATATATATATATATATATATTGTTTAAAAATATGTTTCCATCGCGTCACAAAATTAGTATATTTCTGAACAAAAATTAAAATTAAATTTTTGTTCCATTTTCAAGTGATGTTGGATAATTTTAATTTTTAGTTCCGAAACATAAAATTTTGTATATATGCAGTGCTGTTTGATAAAAGTGACTCACCTGATATTTTTTACAAAATGTTCTCTTCTCCGATGGAACGAAAGTTGAGCTAAATTCAAAGGATAAGCGATCTAAAATCTGAAGAAGCTTTGAAAGCTCTTTGAATTTAGCAGTAAGTACTGTCAAGCATCCATTCAGTATAATGTTCTGGGGATGCTTTTCTTTTCATGGAACTGGTTTCTTAAAACCTATTGAAAAGACCCTCAGGAGTGAGCAGTACAAGAGAATTTTAGAGTCTTGTCTGCTCCCTTCTGCTGAAAGGGTGCAAATCGACCCCACCAAGCTCATTTTTATGCAGGATAATGTTACCTGTCACAAATCAAAATTGATGAAGGAATACTTTGATGAGAAGCAGGTGAGTGTTATGACATGGCCGCCCCAATCTCCTGACCTCAACCATATAGAAAACTTACGGAGCAACTGCTTTCTCGAGAGCCTGTACTTTATAATGCTCCATAAGTGTCAAACCGTGAATGTTTCAGTACCCCTTTGAACATCAATATAATTTCATTGTTCTCAAAATGATCAGTATGTGCGGGTGGTGTAATGGGCAGCGGTTCGGAATGAGAATTAGTAGAACCGAGTTCGAATTGCAGTCTTGTTCATTAAATTCATTTAGTTAATCTATCTCTTCCTCCAAGTCATGGGTTAAATAATAGGACTTATATCCATAAAAATCATCGTTATTCTCAAAACATTCTTAATTCGTTGTTCAAGCGAAAAAGAAATCCTCTTAAAATCTAAAATATTTCGTCTTTGAATAACCAATAAAGGGATGATAAACCGTAAAAAAAAAACAGATCAACATGATAATCACACTTGTAATGCTTACCGTTTCAAAGATAAGTGTTGGTAAATGTTGAAAACGAAAATGTCCGACTGAGACAACTCAAGCTGATAACTCCTTTCAAGTCTTTTGTTAATTTAATGTTTATTAATTTATTTAGAAACCTCTACTCCTGTTCAAAAGACCGGGGAGGAGTGTGAACTGAACGATAGGCAAACCTGCCTACTACTATTGAAGAAAATAAATTAATAAATAGTAAATAAAATTTCAGAGTTTAGGAGGAGATGTTAGAAGTATAGAGTTGAAGTAGCCTTTAGAAACCTCTACTCCTGTTCAAAAGACCGGGGAGAAGTGTGAACTGAACGATTCTAAAGGCTACTTTTTATTATCTAAATAATAATGTGCCCTTCAAGTTATAAACAATAGGCTCGTTTTAAATATCTAAATGGTAATTTGTCCTTCAAGTTATGAATAATAAGCTCGTTTTTATTATCTAAATGATAATGTATCTTTCAAATTATAAACAATAAGCTGGTTTTAATTATCTAAATGATAATGTGCCCTCAAGTTATAAATAATAAGGTCGTTTTAATTGTCTAAAAGATAATGTGTCCTTCAAGTCATAAACAATAAGCTCGTTTTAATTATCTAAAAGAGAATGGGCTCTTTAAGTTATAAGCAATAAGCTCGTTTTAATTATCAAAAAGAGAATGTCCCTTTTAAGTTATAAATAATAAGGTCGTTTTAATTATCTAAATGAAAAAGAAAAAATAATATAGCTATTTTCCCTTTCATCTACTTTCTCAACTTTCTACTTTATTTTTCTCTTAGTGATGGATATCAGAAACCGCCATTTCTTAATCTCATCTTCCATGGGATGTGCTGATAAGTCGCCATTTTTTTTTCATCTGAGAAATGACATTCATATGTTTCCTTCCCCACTATTTCAAAGAAATTAAATATTTTAATGGTTCTTTGATCTGGTATCTAAGCCATCTTATTGGTACTATAAAAATATATAAATAAATAAAATAGAAAAAGAAAATAAAAATATAAAATAAAATTTAAAAATGGCTGCCAGAAGTTCTATCAAAGAGTAATAAAGCTTTTTCTCTCTAAATTGAAGTCCACCATGATTGATCGATGCGTGAACGATAAACGATAGTAAAATCCACACACACACACACACACACACACACACACACACACACACACACACACACACACACACAAATCCACTACCACCACCAGCCACAACAACAGACTTTATTATTTTCTTATCTATTCTCAAAAACAAAGAAAACGTATAAATTCACTTTCATGTTTAGGTTTTATTCAAATTCTAATAATCCCTTTCTAAAACAATAAGCATTGGCGATCAGTAAAGGGAGTTAAAATAATAGCGGTGTGAAGGGAAAACTGTCCTTTTGACACACTTGTGGCACGAAGGTTTAAGATTTCCAGATACTCAAGATGATGGACGAGGAACGTGCAGTCTGGCGAATGGCGAATAGTGATTTCTAAAAAATACAGTTTGGAAGTAAGAAATGAATGTGAAATGCAAGAACCACGGCTCATATTTCAAAAGAAAATCTCGTATCCTTATGGGGATTCTTAAAAATTTCATGAAAACATACGGCAAGGAAATTAGGTAGACGGAACTCTTCGGAGGTCGTCAATAGTTGTGCAAGCACAAAATCCCAAGTCATCGTGACCGAGGCTTTGAGCGTACTGGTTTTCTTCAAGCTGTTGATCAGGCCAGCTGATGCACTCTTTCTGAGAAACAGTAACTAAGGTATGCTATGTGTGTGCTAAACAAATAAGAACCTGACTTAGCAGGTGACTGAGTATATATGTAAGCATTTAAAAAATATTTTTAATTTGGATATACAGTATAACCCGGATATAAGACAGTTGTCGGGACCGGAGAAGAAGTCTCTTATATCCGGGTTTCTCTTATATCCGGGTTTGATCTATTTTGTTTACATTAACACAGGCTCTAATTTGGGACCAGATAAAATCTCTCTTATATCCGGGTTTCTCTTATATCCGGGTCTCTTATATCCGGGTTACACTGTATATGTTTGCCTACATTTGATATAAATGCTATATTTATGAAAAAGAGAGAGAGGGAGAGAGAAAAAGAGCGAGTGAGAGTTATAGAGAAAAAGTGAGAGAGAGTGAAGGTGAGAGATAGTGAGAGAGAAAGAGAGAGTGAGTGAGAGAGAAAGAGAGAGTGAGTGAGAGAGAGAGAGTTAAAGAGTGAAAGTGAGAGAGAAAGAGAGAGAGAGAGAGAGGGAGACAGAGAGAGAGGAAGCAAGTTAGGCACCGAGGAAAAGTTTATTTCTTTATTTTTCAATGGAAACATTAATCATGGCTTTTTCGCCATTTCAGATTTTTATCCCCTGACATTACTTTTAGCGCCGAGGTTTTGTTATGATTAACAAACTATTTAACATCTTCAAAATTCTCCCCTTCATGTTCAATACGACGCTGGACCCTATCAGCAACACTTCTACAAAGCACTATTTACATTGCTCGGACTATCATCCTCATCTTTGTTGCCATATTTATCACAAGGTTTCAGCCGTTGTACGCTCCGACCTTCTTCAGGTCGTTGGAATGTCGAACTGAACCCATTATTTCGCTCGCTAGACTGTTCTAGTTCCACGTGCCATGTGTAATGGATGCTAGTTATCAGTTATCTCCTGTTAATTCCCCTCTCCAAGTTCTCCACCGCCTTAACCAGGTATTGAACTCACACTCTTTGGCCATGTGCCACACTTCAAAATTACTGACCCCCCACCAAAAAAAAAATAAATAAAAGGAAAGAATGAAGGAATATTTACGAGAGAGAGATCCGAAAAAGAAAGAAGTGAAAAGAAAAATTGGAATAAAGTAGATAAAAAAATGGATGGTCACTGGATCTAACTAACGCCTTTATCCTTGAGGACACGGCCGAGACGCTGTGGTAAATATAGTAAAAAAGATGAGGATGATAGTGCGAATAATGTAAATAGTGTACATAATACCTCATTTCAGAAATATAGACAGATGCTGAAAAGCCGAAACGTTGTAATAAATATGGCGACAAAGATGAGGACAATAGTTCGAATAATGTAAATAGTGTATATAATACCTCATCTCAGAAATATAAACAGATACTGAAAGGCCGAAACGTTGTAATAAATATGGCGACAAAGATGAGGACAATAGTCGTCCAAATAATGTAAATAGTGTACATAATACCTCATCTCAGAAATATAGACAGATACTGAAAGGCCGAAACGTTGTAATAAATATGGCGACAAAGATGAGGACAATAGTCGTCCAAATAATGTAAATAGTGTACATAATACCTCATCTCAGAAGTATAGACAGATACTGACAGGCTGAAACGTTGTAATAAATATGGCGACAAAGATGAGGACAATAGTTCGAATAATGTAAATAGTGTACATAATACCTCATCTCAGAAATATAGACAGATACTGAAAGGCCGAAACGTTGTAATAAATATGGCGAAAAAGATGAGAATAATAGTCTGAATAATGTAAATAATCTACATAATACCTCATCTCAGAAATATAGACAGATTCCACAAAACATTTGACATATTCTTCAGAAAAGATATTAGAAATTGTTTTTTTTAATTACGGAATTGTCTTCGGTTTGATCTTTCAGCATCGCCCACAAGAAAAAGTCTTGTGGTGTTAAGTTTGGTGATCGTAGTGGCCACTCAGTTGATTCACATCGTCCTATTCACCACAGCTCAAAAAAAAAGGGCGTTACTATATATATATATATATATATATATATATATATATATATATATATATCAAATGTTTCATCTAACTGGCAGCAGTCCCTAAATTACATGTACTCTCTGTTTGATTTTCTTTGTATCAATGGACTTTATTCAGACTTTCTTCCGGTTGCTACTTCGTTTACGGCTTGTGCCCTTCAGGGTGTGAGCGATCATGGCTCTCCATAACTTCCTGTCCCTTGCAGCTTTCAGCAATATTTGACTCATTACCATCCCTCTCATCATTTGTGATGTTAAATCTGAATAAGTATTTATAAACGCTGCTATTACAATTCACAAACAATACACAAATAATACATATCACATAGTCAAAACATGAAAATAAACGAACACAAAAAACACCTACCTTGAAAATGGTTAAAGAAGTTTCAATTGGGACAATCAACGATGCGAACAGATTCACTTACAATTCACCAAAGTGAAAAATGTAAGAACGCTGGCATAACAAAATTTTCCTTGCCAGTCATATTTAACGAAAGATGTTTCAAAGAAAGCTTGTCTGTCCATATATATATATATATATATATATATATATATATATATATATATATATATATATATATATATTTGTTTGATAGATGTGAGTTTGTGATCCTGGGTTTCACGCTTTAGCGATCGTCAGACAAACTGATTAATTTTTTTAAAAAATTTTGGGTTTATGTAGATTGCGTGTATTGGTGTTATTGTGGAAGTGGTGGGGGAAACTTCGTCGCTTATGTCATCGTACTAACGCAAACATCGATGTATGCAGACACATATACATACTTGGTCGTCCGTCGGGACTCATACATATATCAACATATGTGGGCAGTTTCGGATATGACATATGTATGTATACAGGTGGTATTGTGTCTATACATACGCATTTGTATGTTGAAATTTAAAGATTGGGAGTGTGGCGGAAATGTCTCGTGAATGTATACATGTCATATTATTTTTTTTATTTTTTTATTTTTTTTTCCCCGCTGAATAATATTTCCTCGCATGTATGTATATACGTGTGGTGGGGTTTGTGTAAAATTATGATAGGTAAAAATTATTATTATTTATATTTATTTTTGAATTTTTGAAAAAAAAAAAATGGTTTATTTGTTATATTTAAAGCTGGTTATTTGTTTGTTTTTGGTGACTGTGTATATGTAAAAGGTAGAAATTTGTAATCCTTATTGGTTAATTTATATTTAATGTGCTGGGTGACAGCACATTAAACATAAATTAACCAATAAGGATTACAAATAACACCAATTCCACAATAACATCAAAACACGCAATCTACATAAACCCAAATTTTTTAAAAAATTAATCAGTTTGTCTGACGATCGCTAAAGCGTGAAACCCAGGATCACAAACTCACATCTATCCAACCAAATATGTTAGCTCTATCTCTGATATTGAGCGCTTTCTGATAAGTACCGCGCATATAATATATAAATAATTATACATATATATATTTATTTATATTCATATACACTTTTCACATATATATATATATATATATATAGTGTAAGAAAAAAACAGTGCTCAATGTTAAATAACAGAACAATTTAATATATTAAGAAATATATATAATATCTTACAATGATTGCACAACTCAGAGTTCATACGTTCTGCATTCTTCAGGTGCAATTTTTTGGGTTGAAATCAATTGATAATAAAGCCAAGTTTCATGTGAGCGCTACGGAAAACCATTGGAAATCACGTTTCTACCACCACAAAATGGTATTAGCCAATAGTAGTAACATAGTAACAACACTGCCTTCTCTAATTTTTTCTGGAAAACTGAAAAGCGAGAATAAAAACCCACTTATCACCTGGGAACCAGTAATGAAAGATAAATCTTTCATCGGGAAAGGCAACAGATGTAATCTATGTCTTTCTGAGAAAGTAATAATCCTGAAACATAAAACAATCCTAATCTCTTAAACAAAAGAAATGAGTTAATGAGCACATGCCTATATAGATCCAAATTTCTACTCAAACACGTTGACCCAGATAAGTATAGTCAAGCCGGACGCACAAACCGCATATACTAGTATTGTTAATAAAGTATATTTTTACTTTTTGGTGTCTTTACTATACAACTGTTGGTAATATTAGACTGTAACGCATTCAAGTTTTTTGTTAATCTATTACTTCCGTTATCTTATCTCTACCATTTTTTTTATTATTATTGTTTTGTCTTTTTGTCTTTTTCTCCTACCTTTAGTTTTACGATTAGTAACGTGTTTATTTATTTATTTTTATTCGTATTTATTATTTTTATTTATTTATTTATTTGCTTTATTTATTTGCTATATTTGTTTACATATTTATATGTTTATATCTTATTTTATCTTATTTTATATTAATTTATTTTCATTGATATGCATTACTTATATTAATACTTTAATTTTAATTTTATTTTATCACAGCATATTTTATTATTCTTGATATCACTACTCTTATTTAGTTTATTAATATTAATAATATTATTAATTACTTTATTGATTTTCATGGAAAAATAGAGTGCCCCCCCTTGATTTTCAAACGTCATTTCCTTTCGATTACAACAGCGTATCTGCAAATTAGAATTTATAATTCTGATTTCCAATGTTATTTTCAATTTTAAATGCTAATCTGGGCTTAAATTCAAATAAAAAAGTAAACTAAAATTCATTTAAATATTTTAACAACAATAATAATCCACCTTACAATAAAATAACTCACGATAAACAGAAATATTAAAGAAGCGGTGTTAACCCAAAAAATTTCAGCTAAAGAATGCAGAACGTATGGAACTCTCTGTTGTGCAATTAATGTAAGATATGTATATTTGTAATATATATATATATATATATATATATATATATATATATATATATATATGTCTGTGTGTGTGTGTGTCTGTGTGTGTGTGTGTGTGTCTGTTTGTGTGTGTGTGCCTAACGGCAAATTGTTTAAATCATATAAAAGCAAAATTGACCATTTGTTAGATTAAGCTTTGAACTGTTGTATCTTAGAAATGATTAAAGATATCTTACTGGAATTCTCCGAGGTCTTTATAACAATGTTGGCGTCTACTTTGAGCAATAAGAATGTATAATTACATCAACTGCAAGCTTAACAGAAGAACCGTGATGAAATCGATTATAATCGAAAATGTCATTTTCTTCATTAATTAACTTAGCTAAGGATCGGAAGCTCATGAAGGACTGAAATTAAGATTTTATATATATATATATATATATATATATATATATATATATATATATATATATATATTCCAGGATAATTTTCAAAGGTACTGAAGATGATCTTCACCCTCTCTAACCTTCTAACTTTCTGTCTTGGAGTAGCAAGGTGCCTCACAGGTTTCACGTATGATTTCATTTTTAAGTCTTTGTTCACTTCTCTTTGGACTGTCATATCTGAAACTGCTCTCTCACGTGCCGAACTTCTTATTGGTTGTTGGATCTTTTCTAATTGATCTCTTTAGCGCTAAGTTGAAATAATCATCCCTCTTCCTGTTGTGACTTACTGATCCAGTTTCCCTCTCTACTGTT